TCTTCCAGATGGACTTTAAAAACCCCCAAATGACTGTCCAAAAGATAAGGAGTGAGATGGGAAGGCAAGAATCCACTGGCTGTGAGGGGGCAAGGGAACTGGGGCTCTGGGGAATGTGTTGGATTGGGCAGCCACAAGCCTTGGTGTCCATCCCTGCTCTGGGCCTACCTGGGAAGCAGCCTCTTGCAATGGAAAGAAAGTCTGGTTTGGGGCTTAGAGGGCCTGGGTTCACATTCCCCTTCTGAGTTGTGGGACCTGGAGAAAACCATAAGCTCATCCCTTGTAGGGTGTGTCATTGTGGAGTTAACTTTTGTATGTGGTCAGGATTAGATGGCCACTAAGGTCCCTTCTGACTCAGTTTCTGTGATTCTGATGCAATGAGATAATTGTAAAGTGCTTCACAAAGTGATTGGCACACATTAAGCAGTATATAAATGTCAGCTATTATTACTGTTATTGTTATATACAAAATGATAGGCAAACTCTTTGCAAAACTTTTTATTGTTATTATTATTATTATTATATCTATAAAGTGATAGGTGAGCTCCTTGAGAAACTGTCTTTCGCTTTTTTGTGCTCAGCACAGTACCTGGCACAGAGTAAGTACTTACTAAATGTTCATTAATAGACTGACTGGCAGAAATCTCATAGGCAGCCTCTGAGATCCCTTCGAACTCTAGAATCATTAAATTTCAGTTAAAAATACTTTTTGATCACTGCATTTTAATATACTTGGTCTCCTTTTTTATTTTATGCATTTAACAACTTTGTTCTGAGAAGGGACCCATAGGATTCAACAGACTAACAAAGGGACGACAGCACCACCACAAACACACACACACACACACAGACACAACACACACATAGACACACACCACACAAACTACACACATACAGACACACATACCACACACACGGACACACACAGACACACAGACAGAGGAAAGGTTAAGACTCCATGGTCTATGACCCTGAGACCTGATGAGTTTGGACACGCCGTACCAGGTCTCTGATCTTCACTTGCCTTATTGGTCAATCCTGGGTGTTAATATTATGCTGCCAAACATCGCAGAAGTGTTCCTTTCAATGTAGTTCACCAAACACTAACAATTCTTTTTTTTTAACCTGACAGATCACATTGGGGACTCATTTTTGGTGCAGTTCACTCAACCCAGTTTTTGTGTCCCGGACCCTTCTGGTAGTCATTCTGGTGAAACCAATGGACACTCCCTCAGAATCATGGTTTTAAATGCGTAAAATAGTATTATAAAGGAAATTGATTTTAATGAAATGCAGTTATTGAAATTTAAAGAAAAGAAAATCAGGTTGCCAAGAACCAGATCTTTTTCAGAGCAAGTGTACTTGTGAAATTGGTTTTTGAATCTTAATGTGAGACTTGACATTTATCCCTTTTGAATTTCACCCTATTGCATTCAGTCCAACCACAGCCCATTGAAATGTTTTTGGTCGACTCCATCACCCACTTATATTTCCCAACTTAGTGTTGACTGCAAATCTGGTAAGTACTCTGCCTGTGCCTTTATGTGAGTCACTGATAAAATGATAGACATCCCAGGACCAAGCATAGATCTGGGGGTAACCTGCTAGAGACCTCCTACCTGGGATATTCAAAGGTTAAGTGCCTTGCCAAGAGTCACACAACTGGCATGGGTCAGGAGTGAGATGTGAACCCAGGTCTTTATGATACTGATGCTGATGTTGAGTCTCTATGCACTAGCTGATGCCGTCTCCCAGGTGAAGTTGATACATCCCTTCCATATTTGTAGAGAACATTGCATGCATTATCCCATTTGATCCTCAACACACCCTTTCTACATAAGCAGAAGTTAAATCTTGGAAAATATTCAGTGACTGGTTCCAGTCAAGGGTCAAATGTAGGATCTAAACCCAGATCTTACTAGATTTCAAGTCATAAGCCCTTATCAGATCCCATCCCTCACCTCAATTTTTTTTTTCTTTTTGAAGTCTAAATATCCCTGGCTACTGAAAATAGTCATCATGTGCTATCAACTCGAGGACATTCACTTTCTGAGGTCCTTGAAGCAGAAGATCAGCATTCTTAGGCCCTACCAAGCTGTAATGGCTTCAGACAAGAGTGTGATGACATACTCTCAGGGCATCTGTGACCTGAAGACAAGCTGTGCTTAGTTCAGAGAAGCTCATGACCATGATGACAGCAGCATTGATTGATTTTTCCTCTAGTCTCTCTCAAAGACCATCTACTGAGTTTTGAAAGGGCTTTGATAAATGGCAGTGGGAGAAAGACACAATCAACCAATCAATTAATCAATTAACAAACATTTCGAAAGTACCTGCTATGTGCCAGGTACTATAGAAGGTGCTAGAGATTAAGAAAACAAAAATAAAACTACCCCTGCCCTCTGGGAGCTTACATTCGGCACACTCCAATGAACTTGTAATGGTTGAAGTATTGACCTCTAGGTCTTTCCCTCATATTAAACTCTGAGTTTTTCTTTGTCATGTATTCCTAGTCAGCATGCTGCCTTGAATGTAGCAGCCACTTCAGAATCTGGAAAATACTTCCTCTTCCCCTGAATCTTTTGGAATCCCCAGTTTCCATCATAGTTCAGCTTCATGGGGCCTTCTCCTGCAGGAAGCTTTCCTGATCCTTCCCAGGTTCTGGTCTCCCCTGAAATCACTTAGAATTTCCTTTTCTGAGTTTACTTATATATGTACACATCATTCCCTTCCGATGTCAATTCCTCAAGAGAAGAAACTGTTTGGTGTTTGTTACTGTCAGCTCACCTTCTAGCACAGCACTTGGAATATAGTTGGATGATTCAGTGTCTGTTGAGGTGAGATGACCTGAATTCAGCAGAATTGAATCAGACTGAATTGAGTGGACTCAATTGGAATTGATGTTTCACATTGCTAGAATTTTATCTGATAACAGTACAGACAAAAAATAGCCTGAAAGGCAATGAAAGTTTACAACTAATTCTTTTTCAGTTTGCCAAGAAATATGGAAATGTTTTCTGCATACATGTGGGCAGTTTAACTTAAATGATAGTAACCAGATTGCCATTGATTAAGGAGGTCCTGGCCAACCAAGACCAGGTGTTTATTGATTGTCCCCAAGTTCCTGTCCACTTCCATGTTTTTAAAACACTTGGTGAGTTCTTTGAAAACATATTTGGTAAATGTTTTTATTCTCTATCATTTTGTGAAAAATATCTTTGCCTCCTATTCTTCATCCTTCCTGAAGGATTCCAACCTATTACAGAGTTCTTGTGGCTAAAAGAAATATGGTAGAAAAAAATAGGTCTTTGAAGTTTCCTTCCTTCATGTCTGAGAATGAGGGGAGGAGAACAGGATTGAGGGGGAGGGCAATGAGGATGGTGAAGGGGTTCAAATCCATCCCATAGGAGGACTAGCTAAAGGAGCTTGGAGTATTTAACTTAATGACAAGAAGACTCAGTTGGAAGGTGAAGAGAGGCATGATGACTGTCTTCAAGTGTTTGGAGGCCTATTAGTAGAGAAGGCATTAACTTGTTCTCCTTGGCCCCAGAACCAGCAGCAAAGGGTGAGTGTTGCAGAAGAATACAATTTGGGTTGATGCTAGGAAAAAACTTCCTAACCATCAGAGCTGTCCAAAATGAAATGTTTTTTCTTCAGACTGTGAATTCCCCTTCATAGGAGGTCTTCAAGCATAAGCTGTTCAGTATATTTTGTTGGTGTTGTTTGCTGGGTACAAGTTGGACTGGATCACTCTGAGATCCCTTCCAACTCTGAAGCCCTAAGGGTTTATGATTCTGCCTTGGGGCCCTTTGACCCACACGATGGTGCAGGTTCCAGCACAGCCACCTGCATCTGGAGGAATTCAGTAAAATCAAAGTCCCAGGTCAAAGTCTCTTTTTGTTTCAATTTGTTTTAGTTTTTTAAAATTTATTTTTAATTTATGGAATAAAGTATTTCTATAACACAGCATAATAAAAAGATGATTGCACATGAAACTGCAAATCTACTATGCACAACTTAATATTCCCTTCAAATATACAAATGATCATGTATTTTTTCCTTTTTTTCTTCTCTACCCTCCCTAGAGATGACTACCTTTAGACACAAATAAGTGTGTATGTGTGTGTGTGTGTGCATGTGTACATATGTAAAATTATTCTATACATGTTTCTATTTATCATTTTTTCTCTGGGTGCATATAGCATCTTTCTTCAATTGTCCTTTATAGTTAATTTAGATAACTATAATAGATAAAATAGCATTCATTCAAAGTTATCCTTACAACAATATTGCTGTTACTGCATATGATGTTCCTATGGGAAGGTTGGGGGGAAAGGAATAAGAGGGGGGATGATAGAAGGGTGGGCAGATTGGAGGAAGGGGTAATCAGAAGCAAACACTTTTGAGGAGGGGCAGGGTCAAAGAAGAGAATAGAATAAATGGGGGAGCAGGATAGGATGAAGGGAAATATCGTTAATTTTTCACCATATGACTATTATTGAAGTGTTTTGCATGACTACGCATGTATAACCTGTATCAAGTTGCTTGCCTTCTCAATGAAAGTGGGTGGGGATGGAGGGAGGGAGAGAATTTGGAACCCAAAGTTTTAAAAACAAATGTTAAAAATTGTTTTTTACATGTAACTGGTAAATAAGATATGCAGGTAATGGGATATAGAAATCTATCCTGCCCTACAGGAAATTAGAAGGGAAAGGGGATAAGAGAAGGAGGGGTGATAGAAAAGAAGGCAGATTGGGGGAAGGTGTATTTAGAATGCAGGCCATCTTGGGGTGGGAGAGGGGAGAGATGTGGAGAAAATTTGGAACTCATTCTTAGGAACAGCTACTGTAGTCTTGGGTGTTAAAGGGAAGCCCATGATCTGCCACCTTGACTTTCCCAAAGCCCCATTGAGGGTGCAGCTCCTCATGCTTGCTTAGATTTTAGATTAACTAACTGATTATTGCCTTTTTTATTTAAGCATAACATCCATTCTAGTTTTAATGAAAAAAAATTTAGTCTTCTGCACCCTGGACCTCTTCTTTGCTGGAACAGAGACAACTTCTATCACACTGAGGTGTGCACTGCTGTATATGGCCCTTTATCCAGAGATCCAAGGCACAGTGATGGCCCCAGGCTATGCACCCCTTTAGAATTCCACCCAGAAGAGTTCCCATTTATAGAGAGCTTGAAAGTTTGCCAAACAGTTTACATATATCATCTTCTTTCAATTGTCATTAGAATAGAGCAGTGATTATAATTTTCCATAATCATGTAGACTCCTTTCTAACATCAAAATTTCTTTGGTAATTGGCAACTAAGGCAGTAGAGTGAGTATAGAATTTGTAATCAGGAATATGTGAGTTCAAAACTTGCCTCAGGCACTTATTAACTATGTGACCCCGAGGAAATCACATAACTTCTCCCAACCTGTGTTCTCATCTGTAAAATTGGGGTAACAATAGCCCTTGCCTCATAGGGTTGTAATGAGGATCAAACAAGTTGACAAACATAAAGTGTTCTGTAAGCCTAAGAGTGTGTTATAAATATCAGATGTTATTTTAAAATTGTTAATTATTATTTTCATGCACTATATTTTTTATTGAAAAGGTATGTGATAAGAAAAAGTAACATTTTAAAATGTATTTGTAAGCTATTAAATATGGTAAATCTCCATAGATTTCAAAATCAAAATGCTTAAGTGAAGGATACATTATGAATTCAATCTACAGAAGGTAGATTTTGAGTTGGAAGGTATCTTAGAGGCCATAAAGTCCATCCCATCTTTTGATACAAAGAATGATACAAAATGACCCTCAGCCCTCTGCAGTCAGCTCCTGATTCTACAATGACCATATCATTATCATTATCAATACACATTAACTTACCTATAGGCTACTCTAATGTATACTTATTCTACATATTATTACTAGTCGTTATATATATTATATTTATCATTGTAAGCATAGTTATGAACTACTCTAAATGGGTGATCTGGCCAATGTCCCCAAATATATTACTTCCTGAATTCCTGAATTCTGAAATTCCCTTATCTGATCTCAATCTATTGATATTCCACCTCTCCCTCTGCCTTCCTTGACTGCCGATCTCTTGACTCCTCAGTTCCCTGCCAGGCCATCACCCTTGCATTAGTCACACACTCCTCTTTTTTCCATCTTAACCCCTTCATGAACCAATTCAATCTATACTTCCCCCACTATGGTATCATCTCTCTTGTCCTTTCAAACATCGGGCTTGGTTCACTTCAACTATCATTGGCCTTCACTCTCATTCATGTGTGTTTAATGAATGTAAGGAAAACCACAAAACCAGATTGACTGTGTCCACTACTAATTCATCTTACATATTCTCATAATGATCAGTGCAAAGCAATCCTTTTACATTCCCCTAATTAATTCATTCTCTAATTCACTGCAGCATCTCTTCCAGACTTTCCCATCCCTTCTCATGGGAGCATGGTTCACTCTCCCCTAACACTTTCAGCTGAAAAATTGGACTCATATTTTAATGCAAATCATTGTATACATATGTATGGTATTTTATTTTATTTTTCTCTAACTACATATTGAAACGATTTTTAACATTTTTAAAGATTTGAGTTTTAAGCTCTATTCCTCCCTCTCTCCCTCCCCTTCTTCCTTCCTGAGATGGTTAAGCAATCATATATGTTTTATACATATGGACTCATGTAAAGCATTTCCATATTAGTCATTTTGTATAAGAAGACTTGAATAAAAAAATGAAAGAAATGTAGAAAGTGAAAAACAGCATGTTTCAGTCTGTTTTCAGTCACTGTCAGTTCTTTCTTTGGAGGCAGATATTATGCTTCATCACATATTAGTCCTTTGGGATTGTCTTGGATCATTGTATTTCCGAGAACAGCTAAGTCATTCATAGTTCTTCATTGTACAATATTGCTGTTACTGGCTACAACATTCTCCTGGTTCTGCTCACTTTGCATCAGTTCATTTTACCACAAATCTTGAGGCCGTTCACCATGAGCTCTCTCTTCTCCTCTCCTCCTCATCTCACATCACTCAAATGCCTTCTGCCACTCCTGTCTCCTTCACCCCTATCTCACTTGAAGAGGAAACCCTTCTCCTTGCCAAGACCAGATCTTCTAAATGCACAAGTGATCCCATTCTATCACATTTTCTTTAGCAGATTGTTTTCTCTATTTTTCCCACTTTCTCCTTTATCTCCAATCATTCCCTGTCAACTGGTTGGTTCCTTACTAACTCCAAACATACCCCTGTCACCCTATCCTGAAAAAAAACAAACAAACTTGATCGATCCCCGCTAACTATTGTCCTGAATTAGTTTTGCTTTTTGTGGCTGAACTCCTTGAAAGGCAATCTATAAGAAATGTGTCCCCTTCCTTTCATCTCACTCTTCTAAATTCTCTAGTCATTCAATTGAAACCACTCTTTTCAAGGAAAGTAATGATCTCTTAATTGCTTAATAGAATGATCTTAATAGAATGATCATTTCTCAGTCTTCATCCACTTTAACCTCTCTTTCACATTGCCAATCACCTTTTTCTCCTTTTTATTCTCTTCTCTCTAGATTTTCATGACACTCTTTCTGAGTCTTTCTCCTATCAATCTGACCACTTCTCAGTCTCCTTTGCTGGATCCTAGTCAGGATCACATCCACAGCCCAGGTCACACATATAGGGTTCTGTCCTAGGCCTTCTTCTCTTCTCCCTCTATACCAGCAGTGGGGAACGTGTAGCCTCAAGGCCACATGTGGCTCTCAAGTGTTGCCCTTTGACTGAATCCAAACTTTACAGGACAAATCACCTTAATAAAAGAATTCATTCTGTAAAACTTGGCCTCAGTCAAAAAGCCACACCCAAGGACCTAGAGGGCCACATGTGGCCTAGAGGCTGCAGGTTCCCCACCCCTGCTCTATACTGTCTCACTTGGCGATTTCATCCACTTCTATGTATTCAATTATCATCTCTAGACTAATAATTCTCAAGTCTATTTATCCAGCCCAAAGCTCTCTGCTGACCTCCAATCTCTCATCTCTAACTACCTATTGGACATCTCAAAATGCACATCCTAGATGCATGTTAAACTCAGTATGTACAAAGCAGAGGTCATTCTCTTTTCCCTAAACCCTCCTCCCCTCCTACCTTTCCTGTTACTATAGACGACAAGAGCATCCTCTCAGTCCCTTAGTATGGAAACCTAGGAGTCTTCCTCAACTCCTCATTATCTCACTCCCCCCCCCATTTAATTGGTTGCCAAGGCCTACTTATTTCCTCTTCGAAACATCCCTTGAATATTTCCTCTCCTCTGACACTATCCCTTCCCTGGTCCAGGCCCCCATCTTCTCACACCTGGACTATTGTAACAGGGTAGGAATGCAATCACCAAGTGAGATAGTGGCCATGGATACTCATATAGGGAGGGGTAAAGCTGAAATCTAAATCCAGGTCTTCTGTCTCTAACTCCAGCATGCTTTCCATGATACCACATTCCTGGATGTCTTCCCAACAATATCAATATCCTTATTTGACATTAATCAGTCAAGTCTCTATTCTAGGCTATTGGAATTGGAACCTATTGGTGAAATAGCAAGCCAAACTTTCATCCAACCACAGGTGTGGCTGTGGTTTTCCCACATGATCAGAGAAAACTGGGTGGTAGGGGAAAGAAAGACCTCAGTTTAAATCTACCTAGATATGTGTCTCTGAGCAAGTCACTTAATTTCTGTTTGCATCATTTTAATATATAAAATTGGGAAATAATTGTACTGTCCTCCTGGCATTGTTGTGAGGATCAAATGAGATAATATTTGTAAAATGTTTTGCAAACTTTAAAGCACTCTCTATATGTGAGTATTATTTAGGCCTCAAAAACTCTACCTTTTCTTTCCAGGTAAAATACAAGCTGAGATTCACCGGGTGGTTGGCCAGTCAAGGCAGCCCACCATGGCTGATAAGGAAAATATGCCCTACACTAATGCAGCCATTCATGAAGTTCAGAGAATGGGTGATATTGTTCCTTTCAACATGCCCCGGGTGGCTACAGTTGATACCACAGTGGAAGGATACCACGTGCCAAAGATAAATAGCTTTATCTCCTGAACCTGAATGTACTCCATGGCTTCCATCTACCCTAGGGGTAGAAGGTAAAACAAGAAAACATAGCCCATAGAGCAAAGGTCTGTGGTCTAATGTGCATGAATTTGGTCTTTAAAAATATATATTTTGATAGTGTATTTCCACATAATTGAATTTTTTATAACCCTATGTATGTTATCCTACACTTTAAAAAGAATTATTCTGAAAAGGATAGTAAAAGCTTCACCAAATGACTGACAAAAGGCTCCATGACAAAACAAGTGAAGAAATTTTGGACTAGAATCTTAAAATCATTGATTCTCAGAGTTAGATGAGAAAACAAAAACACTGGATTTGGAGGCAGAGGGACTGGGTTTAAAGCTTAGTTTTAATCCTGTGTTTGAATTACTTAAGTCCACTTAAATTCCTTTGTGTAACATCCCTGTGTATGATAGGTCCTTGGGACTCAATTTCCTTATGTGAAAAAAGAGGGTTTGCCTGGATGATCATTAAACGTCCTTCCAACCATTTTGGACTCTATAGTCATATGAGCATAATGGGTCTAGTGTGGAACTTCCCACATTTCTTCTGGCCAAAAAAAAAATCATATTTACTCAAACAACCATGTTTTCTCAGTCACAGCAGGCAAATAAACTCAGACACTGAGTACGGAATTCTGAAGGAGTTATTTGCATCCCCATCCTAGATCGCACTCCTGGGACTTAGGCAGCACAGCTCCACCAATCAAATTTCCTGAGGCCCAGGCTCTAACCCAGGATGAACCTCTCAAAGAAGTCACTTTAGGCCCTGGAACCCAAATGGAAATCATGATTAACAAATCATTTAACAGCTCCCAGTTTCATAGAGCTCCATCACCTCCAAAGCATTTCCTTCATATCGATAAACATGTATAAGCACCTACTATGTGCCAGGCACTGTGCTAGGTGCTGCTGAGCTTTAAACTTAGGTTTTCTGACCTGAGCTTCATTTCTTTTTCATCTACTGAGTTAATAACTGTGTGTAAGACCCCGTGAGGAATACAAAACACAATAGTGAGAAATAGGTACCTTTTGTGCTGCACATTAAGGTTTATAAAGCACTTTAGAAATATCTCTCTTGAACCTCATAACAACTCTGGGAGGGAGGTGTTGTTATCACTCCCATTTTACAGATAAGAAAACTGAGACAGGTAGAGGGGAAGTGACTTGCCCAGAGTCACACAGCTAGTTAGTGAGTATGGGGTATAGGTGAGGGATGAGTCAGGAGGAGAGAGAGCTCATGATAGGAGGAAGCAAACAAGGATAGCTTCACAGAAGAGGAGGTGAGCAAGCTGGGCTATGAAGGATAGATGGATAGGATTTGGTGAGTTCAGAAAAATAAGGAGAAAGGGAACACTTTAGGGAAGTGAACTGAGTTGGGCTTAAGTGTTAAGGAAGACTTAGTTTAAGTATGGAGGCAGAGAGACAAATTAGAATAGTGGAAAGTGTATTGAACTTGGAGTCTGGAAATCCAGTGTTCAAATTCTGAACCCTGTGACCCTGGGCAAGTCACTTAACCCCTTTGTGGTGTAAAATTATGGGGATGGGCTCTAGGTCCCCCCAGACCTAACACCATGATTTCATACTTTCTGGGAAGCAGAGATTACTCCCAAGATGTAATCTGAAGACCATATTTGTTCTAGGATCTCCAGGCCCAGAGACAGGGTCATGCCTGTTCACTCATACAAACAGGATACAAGAAGGCCTGGGCACACATACTTCACTGCCCTATTTTCTGACCCCATCTTTACCTAACCTTCTGAGCTCCTCTCATGAGGACAGCTCCTTCTAAACTAGGGTATCTAAACACACCCAGGTGTGTCTTTATAGTTAGACACCAGGAAGCTGGAGTTTCTAACCCAACAAGTCACAGTAGATAGAGAGCTGGAATTGGACCCAGGAAGACCTGGGTTCAAATCCAGTCTCAGAAGCTTCCTATGTAACCCTGGGCAAGTCACTTCACCTGTCAGGCTCAGTTTCCTCATGTATAAAAATGAGAAAAAGCTTCTAGCCCTAAATCTATAAGTCTATACTTTATGTTTTCTTTTTTTTTTTTTAAGTGAGGCAGTTGGGGTAAAGTGACTTGCCCAGAGTCACACGGCTAGTGAGTGTTATGTGTCTGCGGCTGGATTTGAACTCAGGTCCTTCTGACTTTAGGGCCAGTGCTCTATGTACTGTGCCACCTAGCTGCCCCTAAGCTTATATTTTAAACAACCTATATCAAAGATTTTGATTGGGCTCACTTATCTCCATTCCCATTGATCTTTCAAGGTATCTGACATTTCTAACCATCATTTCTTAGAGGACATCTGAAGTAATTTACTAATTTAGGGCACATTGCTACCTGGGAAGCTTAATCGTTTACAACCTAATTCACAAGTAGGCATTAGGTAGCATGTGGTCCCATATGGGGCAGAAGCCAATTGGAAGACAAATCTCCCAGTGCTACTGGACATCAATCTTGCCAAAAAGTGGCAGCTTAAAATTATGCAGTGTGGGTTCATCTGCCCCTTCTGACGCTTGAGTAAGTCTACCTTTCCATGCCTTAGTGTAGTCATCTGTAAAAATGAGAGGAATGGACCACATGACCTCTACAATTCTTTCCAATCCTAAATTTATGATTCTCTAAGGCCAGAGTTCTTAACTTGGGGTCCATGAACTCGACTTTTTGTCTTGTTTTGTTTAGATCATGATGGTTGCATTTCCATATAATTGGTTTCCTTTGTAATCTTATGTGTTTTATTTGATTCATTTTAAAATGTGATTCTGAGAAGGGGTCCAAAAGCTTTGCCAGCCTTCCAAAGGGATCTGTGACCCCAAACATGTTAGAAGCTCCTGCTCTAAGATGTCTTGAGTTCGACAGCAGGATTGACTACTAAAAAGCTGTATTTCCTCGGCTGGTTCTTTGCTCCTCCCCCCACCCAACCTGGTCCTCAATTCCCTCTTCTCTAAAATGAAAGTATGGGCATGTTCCTTGTACTCAGTTCTTTTCTCTTGTTTCCAGGGGACCATGCTGATAACCAACTTGACTGCCTTGCACAGGGACCCCAAGGAATGGGCTACCCCAGAAACTTTCAACCTGGAACATTTTCTGGAGAATGGTCAATTTAAGAAGAGAGAGTCCTTTCTGCCTTTCTCAATAGGTGAGCCACACTCAGTAGCAAGGGACCCCTAGGCCATGAGGTACCAACCTTTTTAGCCTTAAGAAACTTAGCAGACTCTACTTCCTGAAACCCACAATCATATGATGGTGCACATACTAATAACAGTCATTGATTGGGAAAATACATCACAACAAAATTAAAAATACCAGACCTTTACATAGCTTTTTAAAATCTACAGGACAAATAGCAACCCTTTGGAGTTTCACAGCCATCCCATGAGCTAGGTACTACAGCTGCCCATTTTACAGATGAAGAAACTAAACTTCAGGGAGGTTAAGTGATCTGCCCACAGACACAGTTTTGAAGTGTCTGAGATGAAACTACTCCCAGGTCACCGCACTCTGTCCACTATGCCTCCTAGATGCCAAAGTGTGATGGACTCAGCAAATATCTCAAGTGCATTTGTATTTTATTCACCCCAAGATTACCTATAACCATGTGAAAATAATACCTATAAGCTAGTCTGCAAGGGACATGGAAGATATCTGACCCTGGGCTATCTATGGAAATAGGGAGGGTTGTTTGCATTCTTTAGAGAACAGCAATGTGGTTGAAGTAAGGAAAGTTTCATCCTCAGGTCTGGTTTTGCCTGATGGTTTTATGACCCTTTGCTAGGACCCCAGAATTCCCCCAGGCATAGCCACTGCCCATAAGCTCTGGTACTCTCTCCTCTGGGTATCCTTGGGAGACCTTACTCAAACTTCCTGGGCCTCAGTTTCCTCATCTATAAAATGAAGGGATTGGACTAAATGACCAATAAAGTTCCTTTTAGCTCTGAAGCCATGACCCAAAAATCCCAGGAATCCATAGCCAGGGGATCTGGGTCTCCCCCACACCCTTAGGCAATTGTGGCTAAGTGACTTGCCCAGGGTCACACAGCTAGAAAGTGTCAAGTGTTTGGTCTGAGGCTGGATTTGAACTCAGGTCCTCCTGACTTCAGGGCCGGTGCTCTATCCACTGCACCACCTAGCTGCCCGGATCTGAGTTTTAATTGTGCTTCTTCTTAAGTGTATTATTTGCCATGACTCAGATATTCTCAGGGCCCATTTTCTCATCTCTAATAAGTGAGGGGTTGGAGTAGGTGGCCTGGAAAGTCTCTTCCACCCTCAAATCTGTGATATTCTGACCCTAAGTAAATACAAAGTAATTTCAGCACCAGGTGCCCTTACAACTGGTGGCAGCCTCTGAGCTGAGCCTTGAAGGAAGTTGTGTTTTCTAATTAGCAGGTAAAGGGGTAGGACTTGAACTGAAGTTTTCTTGACTCCAGTTCCAACTCTCTCTTCACTGAACCCACCTGGTTTAAATTCAGAGAAGGAATCTGTTTTTACTAAGGCTACACAGAAGCAGTATCTTAGATCTAGATCCAGAAGGGCCCTTGGGGGCCACACCATCCAACTCCATCATTTCACAGGTGAGGAAATTTGGACCCACTCAGGTTAAGTGACTTGTCCAAAGCCACCTGTGTGAGAAGCATCCAAAGTGGTTTCTAAACCCAGGTCATCTGTTTATAGATGCAGTATTTCAACTATACTAAGTCTCTGAGGTCAATAGCAGCATGGCATCATACAAATGGTGCCTGGCATGGAGCCAGGAAGACTTGGGTTCAAATGCCATCTCTGACTGTTATTAACATTGTGACTGTGGACAAGTCACTAGATAGCCTTAATGTCCAGTCCAGTGCTAGGATTCATAGCCTGATCTGCTGCCTGTGCCAAGCATTAGTGGATTTGCTCCTTTCTTATCTCCTTGCCTTTCAGGAAAGAGGGTCTGCCTGGGAGAACAGCTGGCTCGGGCTGAGCTTTTCCTTTTCTTCACTTGCCTGCTCCAGAAATTCACGTTCCAGGCTCCTCCTAACACCAAGCTGAGCTTGGACTCCCGATCTGGCTTAACTGTCTCTCCTGCCTCCTACCAAATCTGTGCCTTTCCTCGACACATGTAGGCCAAGCTAGGCACATAGGGTGGACTTCCAAGGAAGGACCTGGAACCATCCTCATGCTCCAAGGTCACCCGTCCTTCCCTTTGGAACTTGGGTGGGGAAAGGGAGAGAAATCAAAGAGGGGAGAAGAAGAGAGGGAGATAAAGGGTGGGGGGTAGTTGTAGCCCAGTTTACAGATGGGGGAATGAAAAGGAGTTTACTAAATTACAGGCTGAAAATAAAATAAAAAAAATTTTCTTAGGAAAATAGATGGTGATAACAATCTCTGTCAGTCTTTAGAGGTAGAACCAACAATCCAAGCTCAAAGAGACTTCATATTTCTCTGAATATCTTTTCAATTCACTTCAGTTCAGTTTAGTGAAATGAGTTCAATTCTACAAACATTGATTAAGTATCTACTATGTGCCAGGCACTGTGAGAGCTGGTAGTGATAGAACATTAGAATCAGAAATGGAAAACAGTTCATGGTGTTGCTTGTCTCAATCCCTAGACAATAGTCTACACAGTGAAGTCCATGCCTCCCAACGGCTTCCCTAGATGATCATTTGGGACATGGGAAGAAGATATTAGAATCACCAAATATCTCTATTTAAATTTAAGAAAAAATAAGTTTTAATATTATTTAATATGAAAGTTGATAGTGAGTGGTAACCTCCTCCCTTGGTACAAAAGGAATTGCCCAACACAGAGGTAGTTGATGGTCAAGCTATCACAGGTTCATTTACTTTCAGCATTATTCCTTTCCTCAACAAGTCAAGCACTTGTTAAACACCTACTATGTGCCTTATCACCTACTACTGTGCTAAGTTCTAGGTATAATCATCATGCCAACAAGCATTTATTTAGTACCTGCTATGTGCCAGGTACTGTGTTATTCACTGGCAAACAAAGTGACCATAAAAATGGGAAAATGACCCACACGTACAAAAATATTTATAGCAAAATATTTATAATTACACACAGCAAAAATATTTATAATTGCCATTTTTATAGTAGCAAAGAACTGGAAATTGAGGAGATGCCCATCAATTAGGGAATGCTGAACCAGTTGTGGTGTATTAATGTAAAGGAATACTATTGTGCTATAAGAAATTATGATCAGACAGATTTTAGAAAAATGTGGAAAGACTTACATAAACTGATGCTGAGTGAAGTGAGCAGAACCAGCAGAACAAGGCTATTTAGTGACAGCAACATTGTGTGATGATCTACTATGATAGACTGAGCTCTTCTCAGCAATGCAAGGATCCAAGACAATTCCAAAAGACTCATGATGGAGAATGCTATTCACATACAGAGAAAGAACTATAGAGTTTTAATGCAGATCAAAGCATACTATTTTCACTTTTTTTCTTTCTCATGGTTGTTCACTTCTGTTCTGATTCTTATTTCACAACATGACTAATGTGGAAATATGTTTAATATGATTGTACATGTATAATCTGTATCAGACTGCTTGCCATCTTGGGGAAGGGGTGGAAAAGGAGAGGGGAAGAAAAAAATTTGACACTCAAAATCTTATTAAAGTGAATGTTGAAAACTATCTTTACATGTAATTGAAAAAATACTATTAAGCAAATAAAAAATAAATAAAAGCAAAGATAAAAATGAAATTATCAAAGAAAACTGCCCTGGTGTACTATAACCAGAGGGCAAAATAGAAATTGAAAGAATTCTTCAATCACTATCTGAAAGAGATCCCAAAATGAAAAGTCCCAGGAACATCATAACCAAATTCCAGAGATCAAAGAGAAAGTACTTTAATCAGCCAAAAAGAAACACTCAGAATACCATGGAGCTACAGTCAGGATTACACGGGATTTGGCAGCTTCCAAATTAAAGTACTGGAGGGCTTAGAATATGATATATCAGAAGGCAAAGTAGTTAGGATTACAATCAAGAATCACCTACTCAGCAAAACTGAATATAATACTTGGGGGGGGGGGGCAGGGATGGACAATTATTTAAATAAAGGACTTTCAAACATTTCTAAGTAAAAGACCAGAGCTGAATAAAAAAATTTCATCTCAGAAAGCTATAATATAAGATTCAATAAGGTTAAACTGTTTATATATCTACAAGGCAACATAATATTTGCAACTCTTAAGAACTTTAGTACTATAATGGCAGTTAGAAAAAGGATATGTAGACAGAAAGCATAAATATAAGGTGACTTTGATGGGATGATACCCAAAGAAAACAAACAGATGAGAAAGAAGATTGCACTGGGAAAAGGAGGGGGGGAGATAAAACAGGGTAAATTTGTTTCACATAAAAGAGTCTTGAGAAACTTAATGTAATGGAGGACAACCTGAGGGAATGGTGTTTAAAAAGTTTAAACCTTACTCTCATCACAACTGACTCAAAGAGGCAGTAACATACACACTCAGACACAAAAAATCTATCTTACCTTATAAAAAAATTAAAAAAAAAAGATGAGGATAATAGAAGGGGAGTGACTGATAGAAGGGAGGAGAGATCAATGGAGGAGATCAGAAGTAAACCATTTGTGAGCAGGAACAAGGTGGGATTAAGAGAGAGGGATAAACAAGGGGAAAATAGCATGGAGGGAAATACACAATTTGTTGTCATAACTATAAATGTGAATGGGATGAACTCACTCATAAAATGGAAGTAAATAGCAGAATGAATTAAAAACCAGAATCCTACAATATATTGTTTACAAGAAACATATTTGAAGCAGAGGGACACATACACAGTAAAGGTAAAAGGCTACAGCAGAATCCATTTATGTTTCAGCTAAAGGCAAAAAAGCAAGAGAAGCAATCATGATCCCAGAGAAAGCAAAAACAGAAAATAGATCTAATTAAAAGAAATAAGGTAGGAAACTGTATCTTGCTGAAAGATACCATAGAAAATGAAGAAATATCAATACTAAACATATGTGCACCAAAAGGTATAGCAACTAACTTTTTGAAGAAGAGGTTGAATAAGTTAGAGGTGGAAATAAACAATAAAACTATACTAGTGGGGGACTTGAACTTTCCTCTCTCAGAACTAGATAAAACTGAACCAAAAAATTAACAAGAAAGAAGTTAAGGAGGTGAATACAATTCGAAAAGAGTGAGATATAATAACTCTCTGGAGAAGAGTGAATGGTAATAGAAAGGAATATATCTTTTTTCTTAGCATCACATGGCCTCTAAACAAAAATTGACAATACATCAGGTTGTAAAAACCTTACAAATAAGTACAGGAAAGCAGAAATAGTAAATTCATCATTTTCAGATCATCATGAAATAAAAATTGCATTCGATAATGGGCAATGAAAAGATAGGTTAAAATTTATTGGAAACTAAATAATCTCATATTAAAACATAAGTGGGTCAATGAACAAATTATAGAAACAATAAATAATTTCTTAAAAAAATGACAACAATGAAACAATACACCAAAATTTATGGGATTTAACCAAAACATTAGTTAGAGGAAATTTTATATCTCTAATTACTTACAGCAATACAATAAAGATAAGATCTATGACTTTGGTATGCAGCTAAAAGAAAACTTAAAAAAAGAACAATTAAAAAATCCTCAATTAAATAACAAATTGGAAATCCTAAAAATCAAAGGAGAGATTAATGAAATTGAAAGTAAGAAAACCATTGAATTAATAAATAAAACTAAAAACTAGTTTTATTAAAAAAATAATAAAATAGAAAAACCATTAATTTGATTTTAAAAAAAGAAAAGAAGAAAACCAAATTTCTAGTTTCAAAAATGATAGAGCTGAATCACTACCAATGAAGATGAAACTAGACAATTATTGGGGGTTATTTTACCCAATTATATGCCAACAAATTTGACAATCCAAAAGAAGTGGATGAATATTAACAAAAATATAAAATGTGTGCATGATTTAGACATAAATACTAATATCATAAGCAAAATAGCTGAGCATGTAATAATTTAATTGTTTGATCTATGGATAAGGGAAGAATTTAGGACCAAAGAAAACATAGAGAGCATTACAAAATGTAAAATAGACAATTTTGATTGTATAAAATTAAAAAAGTTTTTTGCACAAACAAAACCAATACAACCAAAATTTAGAGGGAAGCAGAAAACTATGGGGAATTTACAACAAATATTTCTGTTAAAGGCCTCATTTCCAAATGTGTAGAGAACTAAGTCTAATTTATAAAAATACAAGTCATTCACCAATTGATGAATGGTCAAAGGATATATACAGGCAGTTTTCAGACAAACAAATCAAAGCTATCTCTAGTTATATAAAAATGCTCTAAATCACTATTGATTAGAGAAATTCAAATTGAAACAACTCTGAAGTACCACCTCACACCTATCAGATTGGTTAATATGAAAGAAAGGGAAAATAATGGATGATGGAGAGGAAGTGGAAAAAATTGGACACTAATGCATTATTGGTGGAGTTGTGAACTTATCCAACCATTCTGGAGGGCAATTTGGATCACACCCTTTGATAAAAAAGTACCACTGCTAGGTCTGTATCCCAAAGACATTAAAAATGGAGGGAGGGAGGGAGGAACTATTTGTAGAAAAAAAATATTTATAGTAGCTATCTTTGTTGTATCTGAGAATTGGAAATGGAAGTGATGCCTATCAATTAAAGAATGGCTAAACAAACTGTGGTATATGATTGTGATTGAATATTATTGTGCTATAAGAAATGGCAAATAGGATGGTTTCAGAAAAAAAAAACTGGGAAAACCTTACATGAATTTATGCAAAGTGTAGTGAGCAGAACCAAGAGCATATTGTACGCAGTAACAGCAATATTGTATGATGAAGAACTGTGAATGGTGTAGCTATTATTACCAATACAATGATCCAAGATGATATCATAGGACTAATGATGAACCATATTACCTATCTCCAGAAAAAGAACCGATATTGTCTAAATACAGACTGAAGCAGGCTATTTTACACTTTTTTTTTAACTTTTTTATTCTTTTTTAAATTTGTTTTCTTGTACAAAATGACTAATACGGAAATGTTTT